ATTTATAATTAAGTTGGTATTTTTCACTAGTTCTCCAACCTACTACTGTTTGGATAATGTTACGACGATCACGGATATATATGGTTTGTTATGGTTTTCTTCATTAAATAACTTCAATTTACTGCTCTTTTTTAACATCTCTCCTAACTCTCTGCCCAATTTTTATTTTAGTCACTTTTATATTTTCCTATATGTCTCAATTAACAGAGTTATCCCAAAATAATTCACGGAAAAAATCATAACTTTCTTTAGAATTGACCTACAAACATAAATTTAGTATCAATGAATTGCATTTTTCAGGCCCTATCTAACCAACTAGCTCTTAAAGCTATAAATTCATTTTGAAAATTTTACCCAAGTACCTACTACTTGGTACTCTGTTCTTATTAAAGTAGCAGTTGGTTTTGTGCAGCGTCTATGCTGTATCAATTAAATATTGTTTTGATAGAGTCAAGTGAAGTTAATGAGGTATGTCTTCTTGTATAAGTATAAGGTTTCAAAAATCGATTAGATTGTTTAAAAATTAAAAAGTGAATTAGAGCAAAATTGAAAAGACGTGGGCGTGGGTGCTGGATTTTTTATTGGCCGACGCTCAAGTGGTAGATTACCTATAGAACTATATTTAAAATAGAATTAAAAAATACAATAAAATTATAAACATAAACGTATTCTTACTTGCTTTTAGCTTTATTTATTTATTTATTTAGGCATTTTTATATAGCGCTTATCATAAAGCTCTAAGCGCTTTACAATTATTAAAACATGTAAACTAAGTAAAATAAAAATGAGACACTAGGATAGTAACTACTATTCTATAGAAACAATGAAAATGGCTATAAAACGAGGACACTTTGACACTTCAGGATCAACCCGAAACAGAAAATGAGGTAGNGGCTATAAAAAGAGGACACTTTGACACTTCAGGATTAAGCCGAAACAGCTTTACGTCACAGCTTTACGTTCTTCGTGTTTGTTCAACGCTACCGGTTCATAATTGATAGTAATGGCTCTAAGATGGAAAACCAACAGGAAGTATCCGTCATAACCATCACGTGACTAACCAAATATTATAAAGCCCTCACGTGACCAGCCGGATCCAAATAGCGAAATGCTGCTATAGGTACTCGGGTACCTATATCCACTTCGTTTTCTTAACGCCTACATTTTCGATTAAAGCCTATCATGTTCTATGCAGCCTAGTGTGAAAGATAAAAAAAAAATTGAACTAAACGATCAATTTTCAAATAATGTGGAATATCACACAAGCAGCAGTTTTTTTTGGTTGGGGGGGGGGGGAGGGGGGCTGACGTTAAGTTAAGCTTCCCCGAAAAAAAAGATGTCATGAATTTAGCCGCAATGGCCACCCCTCCAAATATACAATTAGAGCCCCCTAAGCCACCGAGTTTATGATAAAATTCTAATTCTGTTGTTAGTTTATCATTAAGTTACAAAGAAATTGTGCGGGGGGTGGGGGGTGGGGGGTTTGCAGTGGTGGTGGCCCACCTAGGGCAGCCATTGTTTATATTGAGAGGAAAAATAGTTTTATAGCAGGTGAGTGAACGAAAAATCTTGCCCCCCCCCCACACCCTTCCGGGTGGCACTTTTACTAGCTACGCCAATCCAACAAGTTTAAATGAGCTGAGCTGGCTTGGAAAAAATATGTGTTACTAAGATGAATATAGGCAAGGACACATCTCAATTTTTTCAGAGGAGTGGGTGAGACGGGGGCGGGGAAGGGGGGGGGGGTTGGGGACCCAAATCTTGGCCGTCTTGATGACTTTTTTTTAAATACTGGAGGCGTCACGGAACATAGCCATTTAATTAAGAATTGTCCGGTTAGGAATGATGTTTTCTATTGTTAATTTAAACGTGTGCGAATAGTTATTATTATTTTTTTTTCCATTATTTATGTTCTGCTACGCTTGATTTCCTGCTGTCCTACATACGGATAACTAGTGGGAACAAAATCTGGTAAAATCGGGGTGAGGGGGGGTGGTGTTTTGGAAATGCCCCTTCCTGCCCTGCCCGAATGACTTCCCGAACGGTGGGCTTATAACTAATTTGAAATATCAGGCCCATGTCATTTTTCACGGGCGACAGACTACATTTGAATAGACATAATACTGAAACAGAAAGATTTGCCTGTAAATACGGTAGAGTGCCATTTTATACTGACGTCACCTGACACCATTGCGGCGGGCGCAGGAATGTAAATGATTTGGATACATATTGATCACTTTGAAGGGTTGGGAGCCTTCCGTAAATTCAGAGCCGTAGTTAAGGGGAGCCGAGGGTCATAGGTGCTACCTGGGTGCCAGAAAATGGGCTTTTATTATTTGTTTAAATGATATAAACAATGGATTTCCGGGGTTAAAAAAAAAAAAGGGGGGGGGCAGGGCTTTAAAGTAAATATTGTCGCTGGGGTCAAAACTGAAAGGCTCTGCACAAATTTTCGGACACTCCGTAAAAAAAAATAATTACTAAACTGAAACCGGCAGAAATTTCCGAAAGTCTTCTAAAGCAAAACAAAACTGATTGACAGCTGCAAGATCATTAAAAGGATACATTAAACACGAAAGAGAATGATTTTTTTTTACAGGCCCCTTAATTTTGATGCTAGGTAAAAGGCTGTAGACGTTTTTACTTTCGGAATAAAACATCAGGCCGCCTAGGGTATATAGCAGGCCTGCACAACTCATATTGTAAGGCGTGCCGTAATACTTTATTAGAAAACTCGTGCGGGCCACAAAATAATATGAAATGACCAAAAGGAAGTAGGACGGGGTGAAAGCTATTAAGAAAATTATAAGAAAAAAAAAATCATTACTTCGCGGGCCACAAAGTGGGTGCTGGCGGCCGTATGTTGTTCAGGCCTTGTAAATAGTATATTGGCTAGTATAATATAAATATTATAATTATAAATTAAAAAAAAAATTAAATTATAAATTATAAAATTATCAATAAATATATAAATTTAAAAAAAAAGTATTTTCAATCACAATTTATCCAACAGGGTTATCACAGTGTCACAAATTCATGTTAATTGTACTTTGATACTTTTTATACGAAAATAAATAAAAATTAGCCTTAAAAGCATATAAAATTGTGACTGCCACTAAATATGAAACGAAACACGAAACCAATGAAATTGTTTCCTGTTATTCAACAATATTGATAATTATTGTAAAAAAAATCTTAATTAATCATTTCTGGCTGATCAATAATATCTTTGCCTATTTTAAGCAAGTGAGTAATTAGAGCAATGACTTTTTTAAAATTTGATCAGAGTGTTATTGAGGTTATTGACGAAATGGCTGTTTGACCCGGCAAGGAAGAGTGTTGACGTTGTTCGTGACTCAATCAATTATAATTATTGTCAATAGTAGTCAGACAATTTTGCTGACCAATCTTGACATATTAATTAGTGATATGATGATGTCCATGGTCCATTGTTTTTTATGGTTTTAACTGTCAACTAATTTTAACTAAATAAGTTCTCTGTTTTATGAACCTAACTAACAGTTTGCATGTTAAGTCAATGTTAAGTTTATCAAATCAAGGACCAAATAGTATAATTTATAATGACGAATACTATGACCTATGCATTTTATATTTGGCATTGGCCATATAAATACAAGTTAGTAATGTTACCCAACAGTTATGATATAGGCTTCTATGAGTTACATTTAGACCTAACGCATTATTTAGTATAATAATTGGGCTTAATGCTAGTGAATTTTTTTATAAAATCAAATAAATCAATGGTGAATGGTTCTTTCCTTTACTTAAAGTTAAAGAAGATCAATAAGTTAAGACTATTGATTTCTTCTAAAAAAAAGATGACTGGTAGAGGACGTTCTCGAGGCAGAGCCAAAGTATTAGATCAGGATCCTTCATCACCAGGAGGTTTAGCCAGCAGGAACTCGACAGGTGAAGCAGAAGTAGGTTTTCTATTATTTAACTGAATGAAAAATACTTTTTTTTTCACAAAAGAAACATTTGTTGAGACTTTTCTTTGCCTTTTCTCACCTAGTTAAGATAATGATCTTATTATCACCAGATTATGTAAATTAAAAAAATTTTCAAGAGTAAATCCCAAAAATTTATTTTAATGATCATCATAATTAAATACACACTTCAATTTGTGGTTGCTTTATGAATAGCTACAAGCATAAGAGTTGTACTGCAGCCATGAATGTAGATATTTGCATATAATACATCCTAAATTAAGTTTTATATCAGGGGTTAAGAACATTTAAACTGTGTTGTAAAGTTTACTCTTGTTCAGGATGTCACAAAATGAATGCTGTTTAAACACTTAGCAGGAGCCCTTCCTTTATTAACCCCATTAGTAATGCTATAAAGTTTCTTTCAAGAGACCATGTGTGGAACAGTTACCAGACCATGATTGATATTATAAATTATATAAGTTATAAGGACTAGCATAAATGAAAGTAGGCAGAGAGCCTCATCCATTAGTCCAGACTAGCATTAATGAACGTAGGTAAAGAAGCCTCATCCATTAGTCCAGTTTGTTTCCTTTTATTTAGGTTTATTAACTCATGCTTACAATACAATTGGGTATTTGTTTTCTTTCTGAAATTGTTTAAAATCTGCCTAGGATGGTGAGAATGCCCACTCAGATGGTGATGATGAGCAGACCATCAACCAGGCAGAGCCTGTGACCCCAAACACTAGTGGGGGCAGCACAGGCCAACCGACGCTCTCGCTGACTGATATGAAATCTATCCTTGAGGATTCCAGGACGTACAGTGAACAAAACGATGTCAAGCGGGTTCTGCTCTGTGCAAAGAACTTTGTGAGGTCTCAAGATGATGTGAAAACACTGGCGTGCATAATATACAACAAGTAAGTTGATCATTTGCAACTACATATGATCATGTTGATAATTTTCAGCCACATCCCCTTATCTTTTCTTGTATATCTTGAATCAAGGATTTTCACAATTCTTTCTTGACATGAACCTGAAGTCTAGTTGTTGAGTTCCGTTATATGGTTTTGTAAATTTAGTCTGTTCAAAAATTTGGCTCATCAAGTGAATAATACGTAAGAAAGAACTGAAAAAATAATCAGTGTGCAATTAAAAAAATGATACCAAAGCTAGTGATACTAACAATACTCAAATTTAATTATACCATTAATTATCAATAAAAATGAAATTTAAAATCTACAGAATAAAACAACTTTAGCAACTTACAGCACAGCAATTACAAAGGTACAATCCTCGAAAGATTCAAATATTAATTTACGCACACACATAAAGAGTACATTTTTGCAAATACATTACGTCTTGTAATAGTCTAGAAAAAAATAGCAAAAATCTCTCCACTTGCAAAGCTGTCGGCTCATGTAATACATATATATACTAGCCAATATACCCGGCTTTGCATGGGATTGCATTAGGACCCCGATCCTGGTGGGACCCCGATGCCTTAGGACCCCAATTGTAATAAGATCCCAATCGCGGCGCAATCCCATTTTCCGATGGGATCATGCACAGTGCGATTTTTTTCGAATAAGCTTTCAGATCACATTATATATCCCCTTAGACTTAGATCAATAGAGAAACTTCTGAAAGATTCTGGATTTAATTTAATATGCTCCATGAAATCTGTAAAAAATTACTCTGCTAAATAATTATTTTTCAAATATGAAATATTATACAACTGATGTTCACTACTTTAACTATAGTACATTTAAATTAAAATCGGGGGCCCATTTAATAAATTACCCTTTTAGTTATGTTTGAGATGGGGTTGGGGAGGGGAGGGGCTATAAAAATCATTCAGATAAATTATTTAGTTAAAATTTAAAATTTGTTCCATTAAAATCTACTTAAAAATGGCATAGATATGGATTTTTAAAATTATCGAACTTTCTGGAAAATTCTAGATTAGATATTATTCGTTTTAAATCCACCAATATTTCAATACGGACTAAGAACATAATGAACAAAGCTAGGCTTAGGTTCATTAATTCACATATAACCTGTACCATTGTCTAACCCTATTGATATATATAGCTTATATAAGGAAAAATGAAACGGGGCCCCCGGCCCCAGAGAAATGGAAATTATGAGTTCAGTAAATTGGGTATTTGAATATGGATAATCAAGTACCTGGTATATGTGTACTAAGTTTGGTCAAGATCCATCCATTCATGTAGGAGTACTAAGCTTATTAATATTTATATAGCTTATATAAGAAAAAATGAAATGGGGCCAGCCCCCCAGAGGGATGGATATTATGAGGTCAGTAACCTTTGTTTTTTTTATAGCATGGATAATCAAGTGCGTGTGTAATAATTTTGGTCATGATCCATCCATTCGCGTAGGAGTATTTGTTTCTAATTATTTTTATATCGCTCATATAGGAAAATACAACATTTTGGGCCCCCAGACACAAACGGAATGTTATAAAAAGTTCATAACCCCTTAAGAGTTCCTTCTGGATCATGATGGATATATGTACCAAGTTTCTTCAAGATCCATCAATCCATGTAAAAGCCTTTGTTGAACAAACCCACAAACAAACAAAACTTCACTTTTATATATGATATATATATATATGATATATATATAATATATATATATATATAAAAACAGGTAAATCAGCCGAACCCGTCAAGAAAAGAAACTCAAGAAAATTTGTAGCATGATAATATTCCTTTAAAAAAATAGAACATATGGAACGTAAAAATCCTTTTCCTAATTGGGGAGGTGGGGGGTGTAAAAGGTGTGGCACAACACATTTAATCAGTGACATCAATATAAAAAAACAGGAAAAGAGGGGGGGGGGGAGAGGCAAGTGGTTGTGGCCACAATGCTATGTTGAATTAAAATTAGGCCTAGACATATGCTATAATTCTAGTACATGAGAATTACTTTATATTAAAACTGATTTTTATAATTGATAAAAATCTTCACTCTCAATCTCTGAGTTTTATGAGTTTTTAATAAAAATCCATGTTAATGGAAAAAAGGTTATAACCTTATATTTCTTTTAAAACCTCCAGCCATCCACTTGATAATTAACTGGCAATTGTGCAACCATTTTTGTTGTCAGATGCCTAGAAGACTACAGCCTCGCCAAGAGAGGGTCAGAGATATGTGACAGCATGACCTGTATTGAAGTTGGCAATGCTAAATTCAGAGGCTGTCTGTTGAGTTTAGTGCAAGCAGATTACAAAGGTGAGTGAAACAGTGGATTGATTTGATAGAGAAAAAAACAAAACAGTTTTAGAGCTATCTAAATATGTTTCACTGATTTTAATATGAACATTATTTTCTTTAGAATAGGATTTCTTGATACATTTTTTTTGCATTTGGGGCATCCATTCAGTTTATGTCATTTGTTGCCCACTAAGCTTGGATTGAGCTGGTAAGCTTCAAGAACATTGAGGCAATAAGGAGTGCTGACTCTGCTATCTGTCCTAATTTTTTTTTTTTTTAAAAGATTAATAAAATATTAATAAATTTACATTTTTTTTTAAAAAAAATTTTTAGATAAAAAAAAAAAAAAAAGAATGATGAGGAAAAGATGAATAAAAACTGTCTTTTTTAAACAAATGTTTTTTGTCACGCACAGCTCGTAAAGAGCTTATAGGCAAAGACTCATGTAGATTCAGCTGCTTCCTGGCATTCCTCTGTGAAATATTTGGCATCATGAGGACGGCTACAGATGAGGTTTGTGGTTCAAGTGCCGTGATGCTTTTTTTTGTTGTGTGCCGTTTTGAACAGAGTTGAAAATAAAATTAATCATGAATTAATTAATTTCAGTTAAAATTGGTTGATTTTAATGAAAGAATGTATGATGAACAGGATATTGTGAAGCTTAAAATGAAAGCACAACATAATGATGGTTGAAATGTTTATAAGAAACAAACAAGAGCATAATGAATTTAAAATAAACCGGGCAACAAAAATAAAAAATGAGAATAGAAATAAAAAATGAATATATGTAAAAAAATAATCCAATTTTTTTTTTTAAGAGCTGATAAAAACTTTGTTTTAAGTGTAAATTGAAGCTTGGCCATAATATTGTGTGCTTCACATTAATTTTAAATTTGCTTTAGTGTAGGTCTCCTCCATATAACTGTACCGCAATACATTCTATCAACTAAATAGTGTCCTTAAATTAATGACAAAATTATTTATATTCCAATAAAATGACATTTATTGGGGGAGGGAGGGGGAGAGGCGAATTAAAACTGATTATTTGATTAATTAAATTGAGGACTTTGGTTTTTCTGTCTGTGAAACAAAGAATGATAAAGAGTTCAATCAAACAGGTCTTCAAACCTTTGATAAACCCCATCTTTGATTGTTTTAACCTCATCCTGGGGCCGGAGTTTGTGCGCAATGATGATGAGGAGGAGGTTGAAAGCAGCCAAAGGGGAGGAGGTGAGGGCACTGTCGTAAACGATGACGCCTGTGAGATTTTGGCAGCAGAGGTAAGTTTGCACTTTGTTTACATTTAGGTTTGATTTTTAACCATTATTTAGACATTTGTATAATATCTGATTTTTTCAAATGATCGCAACATCTTTAAGAATAATAACTGACCATTAAAAATGAATAATTTGGAGAAAGTGAATAATTTTTTTTATAAAATCTAAATTGTATGTCAATTCTTATGTTTATAAAAAAAAACTACTGTTAGCTTTAAGTCAAAATGAAGTTACAAAATCGGCCACTAACACTTAATATATATCCATATATATTTTCATTTTTTTCAGCATTGAGAGATACTTTTTTTTTTTATATTCATGATAATTATTCAGCTTGATGACTCAGTGATGATGATTATTCAGTTGCAAGCAACTCATACGTTAATCTGCCATAACATTATATTTATCTTTAGCTCCAGTCCATTGGACGTCTGTTAGAAGAAAATGCCGAAGATCAAATGCAGCAGTTGATTGACAACATCCGTACATGCATCATCAACAGCAGGTTTGTAGTTAGGGAATGACATAATAATCAAATCTAGATACACTGTGTGCTATGCACTTTGTAAAAAAAATAGATCTAAAAGCTGGTTTATCATTCTTAACTCTTATTTGATTTTGCATGGTGAAAAGGAATGTTAGGTTTTTTTTTTACATCAAATCGAACATAATGATTAGATAGCATATTCATTTTTAAAAAAAATTTTTCTTTTAATAGTCTTGTAGGCATTTAATTAACATTTCGTCCCCCTAGAATAACAAGGTTCTAAGCTGATTGGATTAAATAGGCACATAGAACCTTATTATTCTAGGGGGACGATTTGTATAGCTGCAAAAAGATAAGTAAAATTAAAAATATTGATGAGATTAATTCACTCTTGGCGTCAGTTCACAGAATAGCAGACAAATAATCTATTGCCATTGAATGTATATGGTTTATGGACTTAAGTTTTAACTCATTCCCTCCGGCAGTGCTACTTCGATATTTAATTTATTTTCCTGAGAAAAGGAAAGCAATTCAGTTTTGAAATTGATTTACATTTTCAAAATATTTTTTAAGCTGCTAAATATTAATAAAAGTTAATGAATTAAGGACGAATGCATAAAAAAATGAATAAGTTTTAATAAAAATATAACATTAGCGGCGACAAAATAATGAACAATGGCCTAAAAATTGATTTTTGGCACCTCGGACAAACACATGCTAGATATAGACGCGCTGTACTAAAGCACACATAATTTTAAAGTGAAACAAGATAAAAACTTTTAAATTAAAATCACGCAGAATCAGTCCATAGCTGGAAGTCTTGAGGGACGCCAGATTTCATTGATATTTTTAACTAAAAATAAGAGATGTGTGTCGCTATGCGCTTGGACGCACGCATTTGGACGCATCCGTCGAAACCCCCAAAGGACGCATTTAGTCGCAACCGTCCGGAATGAGTTAATATATATACATTTTAAAGCGTAGTCTTCAAATCGGCATGAGAGATCTTCACGGCACCCTGGTTGCTGATGTACAACAGCCCCCACCCCCAACCCTGCATTGTCACCTTGGCATACTGCAATATATGCTTATTCTAATAAATAATCTTAAAAAGTAGCTGGGCATTTGAAACGAGTTAAGAATATCTAAATAGATTTGTTTTACGCGATTCCTCTTGTTATCAGTTGTCATTTTAGGTTATTCAGTTAATGTAAGTACTAAGTGTAATAATGTATTCCGAACATCCGCAGGAGTTCCCCAAGGGTTCGCTGCTCTCTCCTTGAAGTTGTGGAAGCTTACGCCCGGGGCTGGGAGCCTGCCAACAATGACACCACGCGCTTTTACTGTGATATGGCGGTGGGGATCATCTCAGGTCTTGTTTTGTAATACGTGTGTGTGTGTGTGTGTGCGACAGGGCGGTCTTTTATCTGAGCCGCATGTCTGCTTGAAGTAAGCACCTGCCAGGTTGTTGGCCTTTGTTTGCCTGTCTGATAAACAGGAGCTCAAATTTTGGTGGTGTGGGTGGAGATGAGAGAAGCTGATGAGCAGCTGGCCATTGATCACAATAACTATGTACACGCAATAGGTCTTATAAAGTAGCAGTTTGGCAATAAGCCAGTGTCTCTTTTTAATTTGAGATATGTCAGGATGTGGAGGCTGCTATAAAAATATTCTTAATAATTTTTTTAGATTAAAATATTTTTATTAAGCTATTGTGATATTTACATTGCTTAGGAAAACGATTAAAGAACACAACAAAACCATGACTGAAGTTTGTACACCCTTATTTTTACCATTTAATGATTATGCATAAATATATCTTTTACCTCGGAATAGTTTTAAAAAGGGAAATGTTTCATTTCTTTAAACGTTTTCCATCTAGATTTTGTTTTTATCAAACCCACTAACTTTTAACCTCTCATTTTTAAAAAAAATTAACTGTTAAGCAAGGGGAAATAACTCCAAACCAAATTATGATTTACTATGCTATAATTTAATATATTTTGTATAGAATTTTCTTATCACCATGTTCAGAGTGCATAGGACATTTTGCTGGAATTTTGTCTTTACATACTCAGCATCATCTCTTTTATTACAATGGACATGGTACTTTTTGCGTTAGGGTCAGAATAAATGAAAGCTGCAATGAATTCAATTGAGGAATTAGGTAATTTTTGGTTACTTTGCTGAAATTACCTGTAAAGGCTATTTTAGTCAAAAGAACAAGTTTTGTTTGTTGAAATTTAAAAAAAAAAGATTTAGCAAGTCAGCTTTTATACATTGAAATAAATAATCATGTACTTTATTTGTGTTTCTTGCCACTAATTTGTGGTCAGTCAGAGCAAGGAATAACTTTTATATGTTCTGGAATGGTTGCAGTAATTTAATGCAGTTCTTGTTCACGTTTTCCCAACGTATTTCTTTATATTATCGTTTAAAGCTGGCTCACCTGTGGTCATAAATCAAATTAGCGGTTGTAAGTTTTAGTTTTTTTTTTACTCTGATGGCACTCGCTGTAACTTGACTGTAAGTAATTTTTAAACATTTCATGTGAAAAATAATTTTTTTATGTCTCATCCTTATTTTTTATCATTTATTAGATGGATTATAATGAATGGAATTGATTTGAGTGATTATAATGAACGGAATTTATTGTCTGGATTATTATTGATATAATGTAGTTGTCAGAATTTAATGTTTAAAATTTATTTAATGAATTATAATGATTAGACTTTGGATTAAAATAAATGGATTTTATTTGATGGATTATAATGTTTAGAATTGATTTGATGGATTGTACGGAATAAATTGTATAGAAACTGGTATTTTGAAAGGAAGTGGTCAACCAAATTAAACAACTCTGTCAGCTAACAATTACTTATTGTCTTATTTGTCATTCAATAACTGACATTGTATTTTTAATGGTCCTCTCATTATTTTTGGATTAAACACCGCTGTGAAGTCTGTAGATTTTGTATGATTTTACTTGTCGTATTCTGAACTTTGAAATGGTTCCAAACACCAGAATTTAGATGTGTCAAAAGAACTGAAAAAACAACACTCAGTTTTCCAAGAGTCCGACCACTGTGGTCTTTTACAAATGAACCAACCAGATTTCCCCAACCTGTCTTCAAAGCCTGTATTAAATTTAACATTCAGTCTTCACTCTTCTAATTTTTTTTTTAAAAGCCTACATAACAAAAACAAATGTTGAAAATTAATTTTTTTTTAATTATCTTCCTTAGATATTATTTTTTCTAAAGCATTAAATTTAAAAAATCATATAAATGTGTACATGTAACTTTGTCACAGAGTTTCTATGTGTACACGTAAATTTCTCACAGAGGTTCTATGTTCACATGTACATTTCTCACAGAGGTTCCATGGGTATATGTACATTTTTCATAGAGTTTCTAACATGAGGTCATCAAATTTTGATTAGTGTTTGCTAATGTCTGAGCCATAGTTGCAATTTATGATGTTCACATACAAACCGAATTGGTCTCGGTGTTCATTGTCAGTGTTCAGTGCCAGTGTTCCGTGTCAATTGTCAAGTCATTTGAGCTGTTGGATGTCCCATTGTCATTTTTTAAGAGACAAAATTTGTCAGTCAGTGTTGCTAAACTGTATAAAAATATTTTTTTTTACTTCCGAGCTAACACAGAGTTGTGGGAAATGTAGTGTTACTCTATCTCTTGACTATGGCCTACACAGAGTAGTGGGAAATGTTATGTTACTCTTTATCTTGTCTATGTCCTATACAGTGTAGTGGGCAATGTAATGTTACTCTATCTCTTGACTATGGCATGCACAGAGTAGTGGCGAATGTAATGTTGCTCTATCTCTTGACTATGGCCTACACAGAGTAGTAGGAAATGTAATGTTGCTCCATCTCTTGACTATGGGCTATACAGAGTAGTGGGAAATGTAATTTTGCTCTATCTCTCGACCATGGCATACCAAGAGTGGTGGGACATGTAATGTTGCTCTCTCTCTTGACTATGCCATGCACAGATTAGTGGCGAATGTAATGTTGCTCTATCTCTTGACTATGGCATGCACAGAGTAGTGGGAAATGTAATGTTGCTCTGTCTCTTGACTATGGCCTACACAGAGTAGTAGGAAATGTAATGTTGCTCCATCTCTTGACTATGGGCTACACAGAGTAGTGGGAAATGTAATTTTGCTCTATCTCTCGACCATGGCATACCAAGAGTAGTGGGACATGTAATGTTGCTCTCTCTCTTGACTATGCCATGCACAGATTAGTGGCGAACTTAATGTTGCGCTGTCTCTTTACTATGAAATGCACAGAGTAGTGGGAAATGCAATGTTGTTGTGTCTGATCTAAAGCCTCCACAGCATATATTCAAATACAATGGTGCTCAATATCTTGTCTATGGCCTACACAGTATAGACTGAAATGCAATGTTACTTTTGACCTGCCTATGGTCTTCCCGGAGTTGTGGGGAATGCAATGTTACTTTTGACCTGCCTATGGTCTTCCCGGAGTTGTGGGGAATGCAATGTTACTTTTGACCTGCCTATGGTCTTCCCGGAGTTGTGGGGAATGCAATGTTACTTTTGACCTGCCTATGGTCTTCCCGGAGTTGTGGGGAATGCATTGATGCTCTGTGTCCTGACTATGGCCTAGCATTTTTTTTTTTAAAATCTTTATTCTTTGTTGCCCTACAACATACAAATATACATCCTCTGTTTGCCTATTCCATGTACCAAGATTGTGATTTAGGAAATAAAGTTCTGGGAACAGCCTCAAATTTCTTTGAGTTTGTTTTATTTTCTACTAAAACTTTTCATGCACTTTTCCATGTGGCGTGGTATTTACGATTATTTAAACTACAACTTTATGATGTTTTAAGAATTGTATAATAGGGGTTCTTAACATGTGGTTCATGGACTCCTCGTTGTCCACTGAAAGTTTTCAGGGATCCGTGAGCTGATATTCCCATGTAACTTAATTTTATGAAATTAAAAATGTCACTGTAAGGAGGGGTCGGTGGCCTCCACCAGACTGTCGAAATGGGTCAGTGGAACAAAAACGTTTAAGAACCGCTGCTTTACAGATGTACAATTCACAAGTTGAAACTGTTGAAATTATTAACAATTTCATAAACTTGTGATCAGTTACAAAATTCCTTTAAAGAATATACCATGCTCAGTTACATTAATTTTAAAAGTAATCACTTTAATTTTAAAAAAAAAATACTTCACCATTAACATAAATATATGTTGCTTAATAGCTCTATGTCTTACATCTATTTCTGGGGTGTTTTACGTGTGAGAACCTTTGTTAGCAATGAGTCTAATCACTTTATCCATGGTTTAGAACTTTTTCTTAAAGTTATTTTGTTTGCAAAAGCTTAACATTAATAAATGGCCTTGTGACCATTGTGGTAAGATGACACATGACAGTCATGGATATTTAAAACATAGGACAAACATTGACAGATGAAACATGATAATGATGGTAAGATGGCAAATATGACACATGACAATCATGGAAACACAACAGATTACAATCATGGTAAGTTGGCAGTAATCACAATAAAAAAATTCATGTTTATTAACTAAATTTATTTTACATAAGGTTGTATATGGGGGTCAAACATTCACACCGACAGCGGGATAAAACATTCACAACTACAGTGGGATCAAACATTCACATCAACATTAGCATTTTATCAAGGATTCACACCAACAGAAGGATCAAATATTCACACCCACATTAGGGTCAAACATTCACACCAAAAGAAGGATCAAACATTCACACCAACATTAGGGTCAAACATTCACACCAACATAAGGGTCAAACATTCACACCAATATTAGGGTCAAACATTCACACCAACATTAGGGTCAAACATTCACACCAACAGAAGGATCAAACATTCACACCAACATTAGGGTCGAACATTCACACCAACATTAGGGTCAAACATTCACACCAACATTAGGGTCAAACATTCACACCAACAGAAGGATCAAACATTCACACCAACATTAGGGTCAAACATTCACACCAACATTAGGGTCAAACATTCACACCAACATTAGGGTCAAACATTCACACCAACAACAGAATCGACGTGTTTAATGCAACGCTTGACATTGTTCCTCGGGTGCGAACATTATGGTTACTTGAAAGCCCCTTGATACTTTACTTATGACGTAATCACGAAATGGAAGCAAGAAATATTCCATTTGTATTGTTATTACCATATCGTAAATTTCAAATAATAACTTTACTGGATCAGGCGGACACAAAATAATAATTTATTGCAAACACGATTTTCAAACTCATTTTAATTAAACTCGTCTTCTCGTTATCACAGTCAGATAACATCTTTGGTATTTTCATAATCGCATCGCCTACCCTTTAAATTTAAATGTTTCGAAAATGTTAATTAAAATAGGTGTAGGAACGGTGAAATGTTAAAGTATTAGTGTTACGGCTCCGAGGCTATATTATTAAAAATCACCAAGTATCGTGTTACTGTTCTGAGGCTTTGTTATAAGTTAGTGGTCGCCTAGTACTGTGACCAGACAAAGTCAGGATTGCTGTGGGGGAACTATGGCACTATTGTTTTACACGTGCCGCTAGCGTACATATGACACGCATATCTCAGAGGATTTCATTTCACACAGGCTGCATTTACGCATTAGGAAAACATGTGAGTGTTTTGTGCTTACTGCGTCCGGAAATATTTATGAAAATTTTTAACGTTTCAATAAGAAATACCGCTAGTTAAATAAAATATTCATAGGCGTACTTTATTAGTATTTTTTTAATGTCGAGATGAGAGTCTTATCTAAATTATACTGACTGAATCGAATAAAGAAAATTGGTTGAGCTAAAAAAAAAAAAGAAGATCACTATTAGATTGCTTTACACAAAACCGTAACCGGCCCACGGGTCGTAGATTGGTGAACCATGTTCTAAACCAAAAGAAATTAAATTTAAATAGAATTATATCAACAAATTAAAGTTTTTAAAAATTCATTTTTTAGGATGGCCCGTGATGATGCTGTCAATTCAAGTGCAAGTCACATTAACCTCCAAATAGGGGAATTTAGTATAACCAGCGTGACAGCGACTGATTTTGTCATGTTCAATATGGAACCAGGTGACTCTGGTATCAATGTTACGGGACGGAGGGACTTGAGCTTCAATAGTACGGTTCAAAGTGACTTTAGCATCAACAGTACGGGAAGAACTGACTTTGGTGTCAGCAGTCACGGAAGAGGTGAGATTGGTATGAACATTTTGAAAACAAGCCCCTTGGACCTCATCATGGAGGAACAGACAAGGCAGAGCTTTTCTGTTTCGCTAACCGGCTACAGAGAGGAAATTAACTTAGGTCTTCCACCACCGTGGACGAACCCGACCACAGTCCCACAGTTAGGCGAATCTGTCCTGCTCCAGTGCCCGAACTCGATCAATTTAATACCGTTTCTCTGTTATATAAACATGGCGTTCGGTTTGATCTCCATTGCCGCGAACACCTCCACCGTTGCTGTCGCTTTAAATCGGAACTACAGGGAGCTGAACAAAAGCATTTTAGTGGCTCTGCCCCTGTCAAATATCATCTTCGCTTCAGTAGAGAGTATCTACCAGGTGCAGTATTTCCTACTGGCTCATCCATTCTTAGTGAACCTGGTGGAAGTGTATTACCTCGAGTTTGGTGCGTTTCTCAGCGAACTGACGCAGTGCTTCACCATATACCTCGTTGTTCTTCTGGTGGTGGAGCGCTTCGCGGTGATGACACTCCCGCGCAGGATCGCGCCTTTAGTAACACATTCCCGCCTGATGTTGGCCGAGCTGAGCCTTCTCATCTTCTGTGCGGGCGTGAACTCGCGCTTTTTGATGAGCTGCGGGGTAAAATGGCTGAGCGAAATTCGGCGGGGTCAACCGTGGCCACAATGCGCATCTTTTCAGCTGAACATGATTTCGCCATTTCGTAACCATCTGAAACCAACCTCGGTGATCATGAAATCCGCGATCCCGTTTCTCCTGATGCTGGCTGGCTGTATCGCCATCGTGGTGCGAATTTCGAGGCGCCCCAGGGTTCCACCGGTGAGATCCGCAGTGGTCGAGATAAACAGCGTGCAGCAGATGAGATTGACCAGAGCGACATTTGCGATGTTTGCGTCTGTTTCGTTCCTGGTCCTCCTGCCCTATGTCGTCTTTTATGTTGTGTACAGTTCAGGTGGTGGTGGGAGGAGACACGGCTACGTTGATCAGGACGGCGTGGTCATGAAATGTCTGGGGATATTTGTTCACATTAACTCTTTCTTATCCTTTGTCATTTTTGTTACAATGAACGGAAAATTCAACGGAATATTTAAAACTAAAATTTGTTGCTGTATGCGGATTTGATGAACGACTGAAACAAAACCTACTCGTTTTTCCAGCAACAACAACAACAAAAATGCTTTCTATTTCTTGTAATATCTTCTTTTGCTGTCTGCTGAGGAAGGCTCTTAGCCGAAACGTTCTTCTTGTATTGTTCTGTCATACGAGGAAGGCTCTTAGCCGAAACTTTTTTCTTTTATTGTCCTGTCTCCCGAGGAAGGCTCTTAGCCGAAACTTACTTCTTTTACCACCCTCTCTTTAGAATTTTAAACTTCCACATACTTTGCTCCATTTCATTTTAGTTTAATAATGTATACAAACACTTGCGCAGGAAAAAAAAAATATTATATTATCGAAATAAACAGGCTGTAACTCAAATAAATGTTGCATTTATTTCATTTTTTTTTTTTTAAACGATAGACTTGTTAAAAATGTAGAGTACTTGTTTTCAAGTTCCAAATGCGATCACTGAATTGCTATAAATAACACCAGTCACTCATCTTTAGCATGCACTTTGTAGATGCTGTAAAACGCGCTTTGAAACCTCAAGGTAAAGGTTTTCTCATTCCAATTTATATAAATAGTATGAAAGGTTATATGGCCGACATAGAATCATTTGACCAATAGTGCGCTCAAAGAAAAAGAGATTTCGATCATTCCTTCTCTCCCTATTTTAAATGAGTAGCACGCATCTAAACTGGAAGTTGGTAGATGATAGTGCTAACGAGTCCAGTACATTTTAGCGCATACAGCAAATAAATATATTTGTATTTGTGCGAGTGTGTTCTTTTAGTGCTTACATTTGAATAATAAATCGAGTTTGCATCCATCCCTGTGGCGCTACAGTCAATGTAAGTTTCTGGCCTGCCTCAACTTTTCCAGCCGTCATCACTGTGGCGCTACATCCCAGTTGTGTTTTTGTCCTGCCTCACCACTTCCTTCCACTCAGTCCATCCATCCATCTCTGTGGCGCTACTTCCCATGAAGGTTTTTGTTCTGCCTCACCTTTCTTCATCACTGTGGCGCTACATCCCAGTTGTGTTTTTGTCCTGCCTCACCACTTCCTTCCACTCAGACCATCCATCCATCTCTGTGGCGCTACTTCCCATGAAGGTTTTTGTTCTGCCTCACCTTTCGCTATCACTGTGGCGCTACATAGCTACATCCCAGTTGTGTTTTTGTCCTGCCTCACCACTTCCTTCCACTCAGACCATCCATCCAGCTCTGTGGCGCTACTTCCCATGAAGGTTTTTGTTCTGCCTCACCTTTCGTCATCACTGTGGCGCTACATCCCAGTTGTGTTTTTGTCCTGCCTCACCACTTCCTTCCACTCAGACCATCCATCCATCTCTGTGGCGCTACATCCCATGTAGATTTTTGTTCCGCCTCACCACTTCC